TGCATCCTCAGTCAGACTAGGTGTTTATTCTCAATAATTACGAAGTCACTGCGATAAAAAATTTGCTTTCAGTAGAACATCTATTGAATTCAACCGTAGGGTGGAATTTCTAAATTTGTTCGTCGGCAATCAAACAACGATGACTGTGTTTGGTTTCACTGTTTTGGAAGAGTTATTTTGCTGCAATCTAATACAGCTTATTGCATGAACGTGAAGGTCTATTTTTCCTCACGCATGCGAAAAAACATACTTTTAAAAGAGTAGATAAATTTATACAATTTTTAAAGAAATATCAGCGTTGTAGTTCTTTTGCATTTGACTAAATTTCTTGGTGATTAATCAAACATCTCTGCTCGTTACCAAGCACAAAATGAAAAACAACCGATAGAATCACAGCATATCGGGGTTAACATTCGCTAATTTAACATTTTGCGTGGGACCGGTCAAGCCCTACGGAACAACGTAATTTGCATTTCAGCAATTGTTGGCTTTGTCATTTTTGGACTGGAATATGCTAAAGACATTTCCGCTTGCTGACTTTTCAGAACACAAGCGCACATCTTGTGTTGCCCCTGACTCAGACGTCAAATTCGCTTTCTCCTCTCTTTCCTGTTTTTGAACACGAGTCTAAAGTGAAAAATGCCCGTTCATCGTTGTATTTTTCTAATAGTCAAATTTCGTCGCAGTAAGTGCGAGTTTCTAATAGATTGGGTTTCATTAAGCGTGCGATCAATAATCGATGTCAACGCCAAATAATTGCGTGACAATACATGTGCTCTCATAAGCTCAGTTTAAGGTGGACAAGTTACGCGGGATCCGCGGCGAAAGTGTGCACACTCTAACTCATTGTGCGCGAGCATTTTTCGTGATGCCACATTAGTGGATAATTGAGTATCTTCTTCAAGTTCATTTTGGTTGGCTTCTGAACTTTGATGAATAAAATATAGACGATTGGATTGTGCTACCTCCTCATTATGTCATACATGCTAGCTATATTGTTGAGTACAATGACCAGGTAAACTCAATAGCTGATCTTGCACTAACAGCTTTTGTGCCACACATCATGTCCTGATGAGCTCCCTTTGATAGTAGTTGTGAAGGCAGAAGATTTTGTCTCCCTTATGTTCCGGATATGCTACATACATTTGAAGGTTATTTACGCCATAGTCATTCCTCGCATTTATAAAAAAAAATTCACTCCATGGCTTGGTAGCTCAGAACGCTTGTTTGGATATTATTTATGACGCTTAACCGCTGTAGCGCTATCTATGGCGGCGACTTTTGGCCGATTCATTAAAGCTGTTTTTTCTTCATGAAGCTGTGCATGTTTCTAGTAGCTAAAGTTTGGATATGTAACCCTTTAGGTTGACGTTGTGCCGGTTGCTTTCTACCGTTAAAATAGCGTCATAGAAAGCATACCAGGTACATTCGAATCACAGATAAACGTGAAAATATAGCTCCCTGTTTGGAATCCATCAGTGGAAATTCTTTGGCAGTCCAAATTATCATACACGAGAGATTCAGTTGACTCTTCAATGAAAAACAATTTTTATATGCGATTGTGTGTATTTGTTGAGTCAATCGTATTTGTAGTTGATGTATGGGGTTTTGCACTGGCCACCATAAACGGTGCGTTCAGAGTCCAGTATTCCGCGCCCCCGTTTCTGCACTGATAACAACATGATGACGGTGCGTGAATCGCATTGCTTAAAGCTTCAAACTCACGCCTCAGAAACTCCATTTCTTATCAGACTGTTTAGATTTGATTTTTGTAAACCAAATTCATCTGTAAACGAGTGAAGAGGTCTGAATGTCCAGTTGGTGAGGAAAACCTTAAGCCTTATCAAACTTCTGAGTCGGAATTTGCGGCTAACTGGAAATCCCGCTCCAAGGAACATTATTTTTATCTCCAGTGTAGCGCAGCTTCAAAAAGCTAGTTATTACTCCATAAGAAACAGTAAAAAACAGGTTCGAACATACAACTTGTATCACTGTAAACGTTTTCTTTGGCTGTATTTTTTGTAATACAAATTGCGTGTGTCACGCAAGATAATGATGACCATCTGACCTCTGCAGGCGGTCACACCTATCCGCTACATGCAGTTAGGAAGTGTAACCCGATTTGCTTTTGTTTACTCCAACCGGTATAGCATGGACCTTCACCAACTCCGCTGAAATAACGCGCATCTTTAGTGATGGCAATATACAACAATCCTGATATGGATTGGAAGTGCAGTGGCATTCCTAATGAAGTAATTCTGCTTAGTGTATCGGACCAATTGCAGTCGGGCTTGGTGTCAAGCAACTCCCACGAAGCTTCTTATACTCGCTCTATGGGTCATTTACTGGTAGTGGTTCTCCCTGGCGGATTTTACCAGCATTGCTCCTGTCAAAAGCATACAAGTAAAACATACTGTAAGTTCCATATTGTGACGGTTTGCTGTCATGTTTTACATGCACAACTGAACGCGCTCAACACTGCACAAAGTATCCACGCCTTGGTTGTTGTTATGGGGGTTTACAACTCATGTGTGGTGTAAGTTTGGTTACGCGTCAAAGATAGCAGTTCAGTACCTTTATGTCAGTTCAACAGAATGGTTATAAGTAGCGTTATTTAATCATAGCTCCTCAAGTATTCAGTACGGTTTCAGGAATTTCTGAAGTTCGTTCACCTAACAGAAGGATGCATTAACCGATCCTGAGTGAACTATCCAAGTTTTAACACTTAACAGGACACAGGTCTATCTTTTCACTATCGCCTCCTGGCTGACAACTGATTTTAAGTTTAAGAAGCAACTAAGACGTCGAAAAGTTCCGTCATACACTGGAATCATTGTTTGTTTGTTTCCACGCCGTATGCCTGGATAGTGGCTTCCACTAACCAGTGTTGTGCTGTAATGCGCCTTGTAAGATATACAGCACAATATCATTCAGATGCATCGCCCACAAGGATTTTCGTTTGATACGGTCAAAATCAAGGTTGCAAACGAGGGATCGTGTTGGGAGTTATACTGGTGTTCTAATGGTTGTTGTGGAACACGTTTTTGGCACAGTTTTTTTCAAGACAACCTATTCACTCTAGCATTTTGTGAGTATCCTCTTCCTAAACAAAAAGCATTGCAGTACGCATGATGTGATCAATCCAGACACAGTATGAGTGGGACTAGTTAAACGACAGCTTGGGCCATCACCACCAATGGGGTTAGCATTAATTCACAAATATTCTAATCTTGAGAAACCCTGTCCATTTTGGGTGATTCGCCTGAAACAAAAATGTCGGGTATCTATCCAGTTTGACGCGGACTTCACCGTCGTACCCACCGTCGTATTGTTTGACCTCCGCAAGACACAAAAACCAGTAAGATAAAACAAGGATCTTATCTAATCTCTTGGATGATATAACATAAAGCCGATTTACATCCGATTAACAACGATGCCCAGTGATCCTCTGTGGAAAGATAGCAACAGCTTTTTGGATCCTTCAGCGCCAATCTATCAATAATACTATTAAAAGGTGAATAACCGACTGATATATTTGTTGCTCTTCTGAGGCGACACAAACTTTATCCAGCGAAAACGAGTCTAGTGAGCACAATACAAGTCTTCTGTTTCCTTCTTGGAGCTTCAGCAAGCTCTGCGATCTGTAGATGACAAGATTCATCTTGAACTTTAACTTATTTTCGGTTGTGCAACAGTCAGTCAAGTATCAATTCAGCGCGTGTTTGCTTCGCGCTAACAGCGTCTACCAATAATCATTAGCTTATTGATTGTCGCAAATTTGGTGGGTCTGTCATTAAGCACAAAGTATCAGAAAGCTCAAGTGTAGATCGTGTGTTGTTTTTCAGACTGTCCACGCGTTCTTTACGACTATTCCGTGTTATGATAATAAGGTAACAAACAAGTAGTGGTGATGACGTCACTTGTGATAACGCAGTTGTAAAATGTACGATAGGGTTTCAGAGGTGTCAAAGTCCTTAGAATTGATATGAAACGGGCACCATCCAGTTAGCTTGTTTTTCTGGAACTGTCGTCATTGGATGACGACGGTGCCAAAGCTTTCACTCACCTTCTTTGTGACGCGGATGGATTATGCCACACAATACAGTTAGCAACATCCCTCGTCTTCATTCACCGTTGAGCCACTCTCCCAGCTGTTTTTAGCACTCGTCCTTGACTGCTGAATGTGATGAGAAACTTAAAATCATGCGCGTGACATACTTCTCCTGTAGTCTTAACTCAATACAAGGAGATGGTCCATCAACGAGGTACTCCTGTCTAGCGGCTAAACAGATTTATTTCTGTTTACAACAGGATAGGTCTAAGTTGTAGCCTGGATCATGTGAATCACTGATCGACCCATGATATGCGAGTTCCGAAATTCCAACATTACGCACACGTTCTATCCATCAGTCACAAAGATGACCCCAATAAAGCACTCCGGATTTAACTGCATAGGTCAGCTGGAAATTTTCCGCTGTCACTTAGGCTAGACTGATTAATCAATCCGCAGCATGTGTGCAACGAAGACTTTTTTAGAAGATATGAGCTGATTTTAGTCTAAAGAACCAAACATGAATTTCCCACAATACTGGCACTCGTCCACGCTTTTGTCCCTATTTATTTGTGTATCAGTCATACTGTTAGCTTTTAGCAAAGCGATTGAGGGAAAAAGGTAAAATATTGATATCCGGCAACCTCTGTTTTCTATTGTGCATTAGTGTATTGAATAGTGGAGATATAATATTCTAACTATTTTTAGTAGTCAAAGGTACTTCTAACTTCATACGCCTACTGACATTCCCATTTGAATGCATAACTTAGGCGTAGAAAAGATCACATCCCATTCAATGGCTGTGTTATTTGCAGAAGTGACGTCTTGGTTGGAAGAATACGTTTCACTTTCTTACTCAATAGTACTTTTCTATACAATAATGTTGCATAGTCATGGAAATTTCTTAGAATTCTAATTCAGCGGATGCCCGACCGGAATATGGAAGAATTTCTATTTTACCATAATTTCTGTTTTAATAAACATAAATCAGGGCAAAGCTTGGGTTCCTGATTATCATTTAACACAGAACCCACATGGTTTTTGCAACCGTTTAAGTGGATATGTCATGACAAACTTCTGAATCTTTTCTTTTGCTAACAAAGTATGATGACAAAATCAAACATGTGAACTAAACTCTTTTTTAATAGAGAAAATGGCTTGTTTGTTGGACAGCTCTGTACACAGATAAAGTAGAACGTCAATCTAATAGCATCTTGACAAAGATTTCAGTACTTTGCGATTTAATTTCGGATTTTGTGCTCAATGATCGAAGGCCGAAACACCAGAATTTACTACGTGCGACTGGGAAGGAGGTCGGCGTCTACCCGAATCAATTCGAGAACTGCGATCTCCGCGTGTAGATACAGAAAGGTGGACGGAATTTGATCGACGACTTCCAGACGACGAGAGACCATATTGAGCACTAAATGCAGCTGAGCGCAACCGGGCATTGATGTTTCGACAGTGACACAGCAAAATTAATTTGAACGGCAAACGGAATTCTTGGTTAAATTTCGCGTAGATCAGTGGGTTCAGAGAACTGTTGATATAACCTGGAATTGAAATGTGAAGCTAATTAGTGCTCGAGAGTTATCGATTACGTGTGTACCACAGAACTCTCAGAGCAAATATGCATTATTTTCTGAAAACAAATTGACCAGCAAGCAGGGTTCCTATTGTTTGTCTCCCACAATTGCGCATTTAAGATTATTTTAATAAATAAGCTTCATCACCTACAACTTTCTTCCAAATAACAGAGGAGTGCACTATGATAATCGAGAAGATAGCAATCCAAATTGAACGATTTCTTCATTGAGGCCTTAAGGAGAGCTTAGATATAAGCATAAAAACTTAGCACATGCAATAAGAGAAACGTGAGCAGCAACGGCAGAAGAATAAATGCCACGTATGTCTTTATGATGATTCCTTACACGATAAAAGCTGTGGTTACTTGAGATTATATTAATTCTTCTTGCTTCAATTTCTAAACTCTTGGAGAACAATACCTACCAGCGTACAAGTCGTTCAACTTACTGTCTTAACCGGTTGCTCAGACGATTGTCTTCGTTTGACTTGAAAAATTAATACTGTGCTCACAAGCAGAACATCGTGTTGCTAAACTTGTATGAAATATGTGAACAGGCTGAATTCGATAGATTGGTCACTAGTGAGGTGCGAATACAACATAATGTGATTGCTTAATATAATATTTTTAACAAATATCTATCAGCAGAACAAGGGACGTGTAAAAATGTAGATGGGTTTCTGGCCCACAACTAAGCGCAACGGTAAATAAGCGACAATGTATCAGTGTTGAAACTGTCACTTAGTGAAAGTAACGAGTTGAGGCAAGTTACTTGCTGGTGAATGCTGGTTTATCAATCCATTAGACAAGTTCGCCTGCTGTTTCTAAAGATGCAGTCAGTGATTTAACCGCGCTATTTTAGTCGGAGATTGTGTCCATCATCTTAAATTTGGTAGTTTTATTTTATGGGCTTTACCGATTTCAAGGTTGTGGTTGGGAGCTCAGTTGTCTTAGTAATGTTGTGAACATAAGGCATCAGTAGCGTCAGTAACGAACGTTTTGTCTCATATGTTCTATATTCCATGCAGTACATTTGTGCCGTTCATTGCATCAGTTCGGCCAACAGTTCATATACTTCTGTTAAGTGATTTTCAAGTGATGTGATTTCGTTATCAATTAGAATCCAGAGAATCTTGACGGATCCCAACATACACCTGGCGATTACTGCCCTATTTGTTGACCTAGACGCAAATATGGTTGCGTATTCATTATCCTGCTGTTTTTAGCGGAATGTTTTGGACGCCTGACACAGCAGCTTGCTAAGAGAGTGCGTGGGCGTAACTCAACGCTTCAGCTAAATGGCGTGCCACATAATTGACACCGGTCACGTGTTCATTCGAACTAGTCCCTCTACGTCAACGACCGAGTACGAAATAGACTGTCAGCTCAGTCCTGTGGCCTGACTACAGCCGATGCAGTCGAAGTACACTTGCGGAACCCAGTTCCGTGCAGTCAAAGACAGTTCATATGGGCGTTGAGTCTGCTTTGGTCACATAACACGAATTAATGAAACTTGTCACGCAGCGGTCCATCAGACTTTCCCACAGGATTCGATTAGATACAAAGTAGAATGTGCGGACGAAATATCCTCCATGTCTTCGCGTTTTCTGATTCAGTACCCGAACTTAGCCGCTTAATGCGTTACTTGGCCCTATTTCAACCATTAGACATCTACTAACCGAACGACGAGATTCCGAAAGTAATACAGTTCAATACTATGTTCATGTTCAAACCGTGGGGATATTCAAGAAAAACTTTTCCCCACAGATATAGGGTGTTCCGTTAACTGACTTGTACCTTCATTTTCTCACTGACGCTGATCGGGCAAGCTTGGACGGGAGTGTATTTTAAGCCCATAATTTAAGGGTCATCTGGAGAGATGAATACTTCTTTTCGATAATCAGGAGGTCCGCAGTGCTTTTATGGACGGTGTCAGATGTAACGGTAAGAGGGTTATAGAGAACGCAACATAAATTGGGCCTTCGATCACCTGTGCATACCGCTTGCGGGGCGAAAATAATTCTAACTAATTTAAGGCGATCGCTTGTGCTTCACATTCAAAAGCGCAGTCTTCAGATCTGAATGCGTAGCTGCATTTATCATTGGTCCCAATGTAGTCCCAGTAACTCAAAGTAGCGTTCATAGACACTTTTTCCAAGTGGCATTTATCGTATCTTATTCTTTCATTTATTCCGTATGAGCGAGACGACCTGGATTGCGCAGAACTGAGATTAAGGATTCCACTCGGAGTATCAGCTGATGACATCACGTGGGATGAAACGTTCACACCTGCATGTCTCACTTAGTAATCCCACATCATAATGAATCAGTGTATTACTAGGTATTATTTTATGCAATCATTGCTGCCATGCGGATGACAATATTTTTAATCTGTAGTCATCTCTGATTATTTCTAGCAAAAATACCGCAAGTGTTTCATCTTCTACCATCAAGCCTTCTTATTCACGCCGTTTCATTAAGCAGGAAAACTGGATGTTACACAAACGTGCGAATCTTACTCCAGTTGGCATAATAGACCGACGTGTGGAACTAGTGTTACTTATGTTTTCCTCCTGTATCATAATTATCAAATAACTCTAGATGTTTATCAGAAGAGTTTATCGGCGAAAGACTTTTCTTCGTACGGAAAACCACTATAGCATTCAGGGGCTGCAGAAACAAGATTCAAAATGAAGAATACGCACTCCATGCATGACCAATCGGCTCTGAGAAAACGGATGTTTGGTGCCCACCTCACAACTCATCTATACTACGCTAATTGATACAAATTGAGTAAACATCACTAATGCAGATTTTTCAAACGTAACTATCACTACAAACTTCCTTCCGCAAATAAGTTTTGATTGAAAAAGTGAAGCTAAATTCCTTAATTACACATAAGATTTTGCTGAGAAAATTCTCGATTAAGAATATCATCTGTTTATCGGAAAATCTAGTTTACATATTAACGGCGAAAGTCAATGCTGCAAGTATGTTACATCTACCATAATACAGCTTGTGCCCGCCATTCCTTTTCGATTGTTTTGAACTGACTGCAATGGAAATAGAAGCCGATGCAGCGATTTGCATCAGCGTATGTGATTGCCTCCAGTTTTTCATTGTTACCATATCTTAAAAAAATGAATAGTCTTTTGTAGCAAGAAAACTTGGATTGTTTCGTTTCTTCGTCAACTTCAACTTATTCCCTGCTGTGTACCTAGAACTCTCTTCTCAGATTCATTATCCTCTCAGTTGTGTGCAATACCTTATCCTTAGAATCCGTCACCATTGATTTCTCCACAGATCTGTCAATGATTCAATAACCTCGTTTTTACCGTTAGCTTTTATTCCTTGCTGAACGAAACCCAATGTACCAGGAATCAAATTTTTCCCTCACTGCATGGCATAACGGATGATTTTACGTTGCATAATCTACAACACCACTATATGTAAGCCGAAGGTGCCTATGATGAACAACATATCTTCTTGATGCAGAATACAAAGACAAGTCTGCCTGTCCAGTTGATGATTAAATTTGTAATAAATGAGTTCGGTTAAGTGCTTACTTGCACTCAGCGTTCTTGGTCCACATACCAGAACCGTTACGCGGAAAAACAAACTGATAAGGCGGCACTGATCTTCTAGTGGCTGGTTCCATGAAATAGCCGGTTCTGTCGCAGTTTCAACTTCCTCCCACTAACGCAACATATTCTACTTAGGTGATTTAATTTTTAACGAGTCATCTATTGTCTTTTCAACTGGTGCGGTTTAAATAGTACAAATCCACTACGCCTAGTTGCACTGAGCTTCTTAAAATGTCAAACATGTATCTCAGAAGGGAATTATACTCACAAGCATTTTCCAAGTTAAATTCTGTGCAACAATCCTTCCGGATTCCCATGCACGTTGTGACGAATAAAGCGCTTTTATTGTCTGGTTGTTTTAAGCCTCAAGATTATTAGAAAATACGGCAGCAGTTAAACACCGCAAGATGCAAATTATTCAGACCACAGGGGAATAAGCATTTTGGGGACTAAATTTTGCCAAAACTTACCCAGCCATTGAAGAAATTGGAAGCAGGCTTTTGGGACAAGCCCATCTGTTTTCATTTTACCTGCTTTCAGAAGAGCAAGTAAGAGCTGGAAACAAAATGATGTAGCACGTTATTAGATTACTAACAAAAAGTTTATCATCAAGCAACTCTGTTATCACAAGAATATTATCTACACATAGAACATAACATAAAAGTTGATACCTAGAATAAAGTGTCAATAGTCAGTGGTTACTTTCTTGTTTTAAATAGTGGCAAGTTATGACAATTCCACCTAAACATGTGTACCCGGAAAAGTTGAAGGACCGTCCATATTATACGATAGTTCTTAGCCAATATCAAAATTTTATTCGTTGCCATTTAATTTATCATTACTGTGGAAAACACTGGTTTGGACATTATCACAGCGATATAGTGTATGTTTGGTGTACAACCAGGATGATATCGCCCCACATAACTTTCGATTTGGCTTCCTGTTTGAAGAATATTTCAACAATTTGGCAATCAGGGAATGTAGCTAAGTCCACAGCACTGTGTAAAAACCGTCTACTGCAATCGTATTGAGAAACGTGATTTTTATGGTTGCACGCATCAAATCCGGTCATAATTATGGTCTATAAATCTTGTGGAGACAAAAGTCCACAACTTCAAACTGGACGCCTAACAAAATCTGAATGGGTTGAGTGTGAAATAAAGAAAGCTGTGTGGCGCAAAAGCTTAACCAGACAATCACGGAGCATTTTCGAAGTTGAAAATATAATTCCTGATTCACATGGCTGCTTGGATGGCTGTTGAGCCATCAGCCTCCCTAAATTTTATGTAAGAAACACTAAGGTGGTCACAGGATAATAGTCTCGGGCCATGTTCTGCGCAAGATTGTTTCATATATTCAGAACTACTTTTATCAGGAGAGGGGACCACACTGATGAGCGGATATCTTGAGTTGAAAACTTTAGTTCTCAGACATTTGCTTTTGTGTAACAGCTTTGCGATGCTTATCACTGTTGCAGATGTGAATGCATAGGTTGTATTCCGCACCACAGGATGCTATTTAAATTGATTAAAGTCTTATCAAAAACGTTATCTGAAATACTATGCAGCTATATCATAGACAGACATTCATCCTGGATTACTGATGTATTGGTTGCTACAAATACGTTTTTTCCAGATTGCACCCACTTTCTGTTTTACCGTTCAAACAGGAAGCCGCGCTATTTCACTGAGTACTTTCCGCTAACAGAACAAGCCTTGTTTGCATTTGAACACTTCTCTGTGATTACTGATGTATCCGGCCTACTCAAAATGGCACACTTGTCACATTATTCTGCGGTTTGAGGGAACATCCTCTCACTATCAGATTTTTTTTGACATGCAAATGTATAAGATTCTAGAAGATAACAGAAAACGTCCATTTTATCGTCAAACCCTGACGTATTGGGCGGGACAACCGGAGTATGAAGATGGTGGACAGCGGAGGCGGTGGAGATAGTGGTTCACTCTTGCTACTGGATTTATGGGTCCATATAAATAGTACAAAAGCATTCCCCGGAAGATGAAAAGCTATAAACATTCGTTCGAAATTAGTGTATTGTAGCGAGATATAAAAAGTGCAACAATGAAGGACAGTTTGAAATTCTTGCACCCTCTTTGTTGAGGTCCACATGATCCCCCAGCACACGGCTTGGACCCTCAACTGAACACTACTGTACCGTCACTAGTATGGTTATCAGTTCTCAGCCCGGTTTCCTAACTGAATTTTACCCCGTTAAAGCGCTGAGCTCTCGTTGATTGAGGGTTGTACAAGACATTGAGGCTTTGTGACCTCGGCGTCCTCCCAAAATATGCTCAGCTTATTTTTATTTGCATAGCTTGGAACTGCTTTCTTCCACTAGAACGAGGTTTGTTCCAATTGTCCAGAAAACATTTTGATTTTCTTCAATAATTTTGAAACCGCTTCAATGTTTTTGTGGACGCGTTTGGTTGAAAAACAATTCAAGGAGGTCACGTTGAAATTTCTACGCTGGTTCTTCTGAAAAGTGATTGATGTGGTTGAATGATAATTTCGCTTATCAGATATGTGTGAAAGTCACTAGTGAATATGAAGTTGCAAAGGAGGATGAGATATGAAACTATGAGTCCACCCTCAGGAGCGTATAAAAGTTAGTATTTTTAGAGAGAGAATGATCCGTTATGCAATGATGTTGATGGTGTTATGCAGTGCAAAACATCTATATAAGTGCAGGCTGTCGTCATACCTGGAGTTCAAATCAGTGTAATGCTAACAAAATAAACTTTGGCATCAAAAAGTGGCTCACATTTAGATAGTGAAGCATAAACTTTAAATAAATGGCCTTAATTTGCTTTACAATAAAGCTAATGGACTCATTTAGATGCATAATAGCATGAAACCGTGATGAATTTAACGCTGTCTTAGGGGTCCAGTGAGAACAAAAATATACCGGATCCCTTACACTCCTTTATCGAGGTTGTCGGGGTTCACTGTTCAAGAGTAGCTGTTACATAACTATCGGGGACAGAGTTGATCAGCTGTTCAGTAGTGCTTTGCATGCTCATGTCATGGTAGACCGCAGTAAACCTATACTCCTACCAGTAATGATCGCGAGTGCATTTTCAAGAGTATTTATAAAGAAGCAAACAATAATTTGTTTTTCCATGATAGCTAAGTGGCATGGGACAATAAAATGAACCAATATGATTGAAATTAATAGTCATTTCAGATTCTATTGTTAAAACCCTAACACACTAGCTCCGTTTCGAACATGGAAGAGTCAAGTTTGAGATTATGCTGTTATTTTGCTGCTGTACCTCTGTTGAGGAAGTGAAAATAATAATAATACTGAGATGAGATTCTTAGTGAGTTTCCGCATAAACGCATCGCCTTTGAGGTTGCATTTGCACAAATATTAAAATCCTGACCGGCTGAATTTGCTGCCTTCAAAGTGTGCCTTAAAATTGTAACTTTCGATTAAGGCTATCGAGACAAAATGCCTAATAGCACACTGTTGTTTAGATTTTCTATTCAGAAGTTCTAGTAACTTGACCGATACTTGCAATTAATCCAGATTTTGATTATCAGTAATAGTAAGTGGCTATTAAATAATGATTTTAAAGTAATACAGGGCGGCATTGTCACATAAAGGATGACATGCACTCATAGGAAAGAAAGTTGAAATCATCAGAAAGTCGGTTACTTTTGAGATGGTATAGTCTTGCTGATAATAATTGTTACATTCTTCACTCTATTTTGAAACACAATTAATTTATATGTTTGCACGTTTTACGTCAGTTAACAGTTCCCAGTATCGGGCCGATTGAGGCCTGCAGGAAGGAAATATTTGTCGCAGGTTAATACCGCAGCAACAAGTACTCGCTGGGTAGGACGTTTACCAATAGCGGAAAGTATTCAAAATTTTATTCCTTGTTTAAAAATATGCCACATTTACTTTCTAACAAGTTTACTATCCAAAATAATCTAGGTTGTTCTCTGGACCAACTGACACTCCTTTTTTTGCACACATTAGTGGACAGGTATACCAAGTTCCCCATGGTGGCACCTGATGATAAATTTTCATATGAACCAACATTATTGCCACATTTCTTTCGAATTGCAGTAACTCTGGGAAAATTAAACCCACAGCATTTTGGGCCTGTCGTCTACATGCACTGGCGTGTCACTTAAACCTTTCCACATTTTGTGAATGATTTGGAAGTTGGTTATTGTATTCTGAGAGTGAAGTCTCAGGTTCTTAGAAAAATATCGCAGCGGGCGGATGAGATAACTGAGTGGAAAGCTTCAAAACGCTGGGGTCTATAATATATGAAATATAAAGAGATTATTTCAATCAAAAATTATCTCAATCTCAAAGTCTATCATGCTGGTATCAAACGAAATCGGACACAGTATTTTGTTCACTGTTGGTATCTAAAACAACTCATAGGTGCATCTTAATACACAAGTATGCATGTACACGTGTTTTACTGTATCAAAGGTTTATTAACTTTTATTTAAAACACAGCTCCTGAACAAAGATAAATCCTGAGCGCATAACTCCTGGGGTTTTGCATCAGGACAGAAATGTTTCAAACAGATCAGAGCTAGGACCCTTGACCTCGGCCATCCCAAGAAATGGATATGTATACGCCTTGCCCCGTAAGTTGTCCTATAGTGTCTCGCATGAGATACCAGAGTATATATATATACTAACGTAGCTCATGTAATAAATGTAATGAATTTTCTGGGGTATTTATTCGAAATATACTTTTAAATGTGATGAAAATGGCAGTTTTCTTATGGCTGACTGGCGCATTTATGGATAACAGACTTACGAGGTAAAATCACACTCACACGCACGCCTATAAAGTTGATTTTGCAGTACAGCAAGAGCTCTTTTAATGGGGTTCATGTGAAACAACTTTATTTCTACGCCGAAAGTTCTGGATCACCGGATTCAGGTCCTATAATCCTCAGAGACGCAGAAGAGTATTCTTTACATTCCTGATGGTTATATTAAGTAGCTTATAAGTATCTAATCCGTCATTTTCACTAGTAGAGTGAAGGTATTTGGCGTTCGTAATGGCATGAATCGACTTCCGACTTTTTTAAGGAGGACTTTTCTGAATTATAGACAGGTTAGTTTTTTTAGAAAATATTCGTCAAATATATGTAAAGTTGGTAATTATTCTAATTTAGTTTCTTAACGGAAATAAGCTGGAATCTCTTCCCTGTGGAATGTCCGAGAATTTCCAAGAAAGAATTAAATGAATTCTATCCAGACTCGCAAGTGACAGTTATATTAATCATCCACATTTATGAAGGTTAAGCACAAACGTTCAACACGAACACATATGCCTTAGCCGTACAACCTGGAAACAAGTAGATGAGTCTATAAGCACAAAGCATAAACCTAGAAGTACCATCCAAAGAAGTTCAAAATAATTTGCCCTTCAACGTTCCGAAAATTGAGACAGGTTATAACATTTCGACACAGTTGGCATGCATGCTTATTTATCATTTCGGTAGGTACAAAGAGCTTAAACAATTTAACCAGAATAATGAGATTCCCCCAA